TTGCGTGTATAGGGCTTAAAGAGTCTACCCTTTCGAGGCATTCATCAGTGTGTGACTTCGGGTATCGGGTTCAGGGACTAGAGACCTCGAAGATCCTGGCATGTTCACTCTGCCCGTAATTTGAGATGTCCATTCTGCGGCCCCCACTTCTGCACAACTGAATCGAGGCCCAGAAATAGTAGTCACAGAGCCGATCGAGGTCGATTGTCTTTTTTTCTCGTATCCTGTGACCCGTGAGTCGCTGGGGCATGTGGTCTCACGGTCGCTTGTCGTGGTGGCGATGATAGTGAAGGTCATAGCTATGATTATGAAGACGATGTTGGCAGTGGTGATGATGATGATGATGATGGTGGTGAAGGCCCATGCCGGTTTCACGAGGATCATGAGGACTATCGGACTATCCCTGTCTCAGCCTACCCATGTCAATTCTCACCGCCACTCGAAGCTCTGTGAAGAAGCCCAGAGCCCTTAACCCCGAACATGTAGATCTAGACATGATTTGCCCGCTGGTTCCACTGAGGCCTGCAGGGGAGCCAGGCAGCGAGGCCGGTAATGCCAGGGTTCAAACTTCTTAGGGGCTGAGTAGGTAACCTTTAACCTTTTGGGGCTTATATAAACCTGTTATAATTCAAAAGGTTAACCTTTTTTGGGCTAAGGTACTCGGCCCCTAAGACTTTGTGGTTGAGAGTTTAGAGGTTTCAGTTTCAGCGACTCGGATCTTGCTTCGAAGGGCGCATAACGCTTGTTAAATTCAGACGTCGGTCAGGCAAAGTTAAGGAGACCATGTTTCTGATGCTTGTAAATTTCGCTGGTGACCTATGTAACCCTTCAACCCCCACAATCCTTGCCCCCCAGCTCCTGCCCGAATCTTTTGCTCGTGCTAGCTGCATGGCTTGCTGCGTGCATGCACCGAAACCTCCTTAGGCAAAGGCGTACTGTAAGTCACGAGGAGAGGGCAGACACATGCACAGAAAGAGTCTTCTGCTTGGCTGCTCTGAACCAAGGCCCGAAATCCTGAGCCCCTTAGTATTCATGTTATAACTAACCCTAAACCCTAAACCCTTAACCCATGGTAAAAAGACCCTGAAACGCAAGCCGTACCCAGCACCCGGCCATTGCCAGGCGAAGCCAAAGTCCGTGACCCAGCACCCTGCAGTAGGAGCGCAGGTGCTGCATGATACCGAAATGTGGTTCTCACAAGCTGTGCTCTCTGGCCGTTCCACCTGATCTTAGTACCAGCAAGGCTTACACTAAATGAGCAGGTATATTCTGTACGTTCATTGCTTTGGTGGGCAAGGTCTGCTTCACGCCCAGCGTCCCAACACAGGCATGCTTGTGGCTTTGGAGTATGTATCTTGATCAGCAAAGCCCTAAATCGGAAATAAGTCTGTCAAAGCTACTACTGGTGGCGAAAGCAGCGCTGGGGTCTTGGGTCGGCATCATCATCATCACCAGCATCATCATCACCAGCATCATCGTCATCACGAGCATGACTCACCCCAGCAAAAGAGGCAATGAGAGACACAAGAGGCAACTCCAGAGTATCAAAGCCGAGCCAGTTTCACACAAATGCCTGCAACAGTCGAGAGCGCGTGTTCAGCCCTCGTTCGAGCCATCTTCGCCGTCATCATGGCTAAGAGAGGGTTAATCGGGATTCCGACTCCAGGGTTCAGAGTTCAGGGTAAGGTGATTAGGCTCGTCGTGGCAGTTCTCAGGGTTCATGATTGATGACATGTGGCTTCAGATTTAAAATTAAAGTCAGCACACCCTGCAAACGTGAACACATCATGGAGCCTGTGATCCAGATGATTCCTGGCCTGTGCAGGGACAAGAATGGCACTGGCGGCGAAGGCTGGCTGCACACCACTGCAAGCGCAGCATTGCAGGGGGTTAAATTCAGGGATTAAGGCCCATCGAATACGGCCTTGCAATGCCATGCAGGGAGGGTTCGGAGCATTCTTCAAAGCGCTTCAGCACTTCGCGGGGTGGTGTTGAAGTGTCTCGCAGAATAAACACGGGCAGCACTTTGATGTTTCACAGCGGTCACTGATCCCGGACCTAGGGGTGCACTGACAAAGAAACAACATCCCCTTTAGGGTTTAGGGTTTTACTGGTTTCTTCTGAGGTGCAGCAGACTCGTCGCCGACGCCCAAGCCAGGCCTCGCATCCACTGTCCGGCTTCCGTGTAGTTCATCCAGTAGGTCGAACACCCCGTGCTTGAAAGCATTCCTCCCAGAGTTCATTGTGGGTCCTCTTGGCAGTGGCTGGAGGGAATCAAAACTTACATAATCGCCTCTAGAATAGTAACGTTTGGTTTATCAGAGGCTGTCGGGTGCAATGGCCGTAGATGGTGCATAGGTAATGTATCAGTAGTATATGGATGCCTGGACCTGCAGACTGCGGAGAGAAGGCCGTTTCCTCGGAAGATGTCAGATGTTCCAGGCAGCAGAAGCGCATCTCCATCAAAGAAGAAGGAAAAGCCAGGCTCTCAGTTCGGCTTGTGGCTTTACATAGATATGAGTTCCGTGCAGCGGCTTGAGCATTGCGAACAGGTTCGGGTCTTTGATTTCACGTGATGAGTTGCTTGTTGATCCCAGTCAGTGTATGTGTGTGTGTGTGGGTGGGTGGGTAAGATGCGCGTCTAAGACGATCCCTTCAATGATGGCAGGTAGCAAGCGCAGCATCAGTTGTGATAACAAGCGGACCAAAAAGCGGTGCCACGATATCCTGTGACATTAAGTGGCAAACTCCCGTCAAAGAACGGCAGCAACAACGGCAAGAGGACAATCGTACAGCATCACAACATAGTTAAGAGCAACACTGTAGCAGTCGTCATATCGATAAATTAAGTAACAGTTAAATTATCGTCACGGTGGTACATCTCAGAATCAAACCCTGCCTATGCTTGCCGTAAGTTCTGACTCAGCGTTGTCGGGCTCAGGTCAGAAGCTGGTGCCAAAGAGGAGCCCGCTAGCATTTGTAGTCTCGGATGTTGTCAGCGGGTCGGGGCTTCAGGGGGTTTTAGCTAGAGGGTTCCTTCGTTAAGCATGGGTTGGGCGCCCGATGCTTCAAGTGGCAATTGGAAGCCTTTGCGCTGGTTTCGAAGCCTTGTAGGCCACTGTCAGCTCCAGTACACTCCCAGTCATATTGCTTCAAACTCGGACACGTGTCCCAGGCCAGAAAGACATGAGCTTGGAAGAACTACCTTCATTTTATGTCTCAATCTAGAAGGCCATGGGTTTCTGAAATGCATGTAGCAACGTAGCTTTGTGGCATATCGGGATTTTGGTGCGCTGATGTCGGGGTTGACATTGCAAAATGTCTGCTGCTTTGGTTTTCGCAGCCACCTCAGCAAACGCATAAAAGCACGAGCACCCTGCAAACATCGAACCCTAGAACCGCAAAACGTCACAAACCCAATAAGCTACAAGCCGAAGCAGCGAAGGATAATACCAACTCGTTAAGAGCTTAAAGCCCGCAGGGTAAATCAGTACATATATATATATATGTAGATAGATAGATAGATAGATAGATAGATAGATGGATAGATAGATAGATAGCTAGGTAGGCAGGCAGGCAGATAGAAATATATATATATACATACATATAGAGATAGATAGATATAGAGCTTGCTGTCCGAAGAAGCCTTGGCAGTTGCAGGAGGCCGCTGCAAAGTCCAAGGCTTCCAGCAGGCGCTGGACTTGTCGCTTCGTTCTCCGTGATTAGGGTTTAGGGTTTATAGGGTTTGCAGGGTGTAAGGTTTAGGGTTCAGGGTTTAGGGTTTAGGGTTTAAGGTTAAGGGTTTAGGGTTTAGGTAAGTTGAGGGGTTTGGGGCTTCTACTGTAATGAGTTGAGCGAATAGCTAGGGTTGCGGGTTCTGAAATTCAGAGCTTGAGGACATGTCAGCTGCACAACCGTTGTGGGTATACAGATTGAGTGAGGGAGGAGGGAGGGCAATGGGGCCAAGTAGCCGAGGCCTTACACCTCATGGCAATGAGCCCGAATTTCCCTAACTTGACTTGCTCACGGGTACGGCTCCCTTGAGCCCTGTAGCTGTGCTCATGCCACTCTCAGGTCTTCAGGGTCTATACTAGCGCGGCTTAGGGTGGTCCTTCCATTCCTCAGACAGCAGACGGCAATGCTCGACCGAAATCAAGACCTCTGTGCACCTCCTCACCTTTGTCCCTGTACTTTCGAGCTGTAGTCTATGCCCTTCAAGCTGCTTCAAGTCTGTCAGGAAGCCTGGCAAGGCAGATGCGACTGACAATACAACGGCTGACAAAGCTGGCACCGAGGCGCGAGGGACCTTGAAGAGCCCATTTGGGGCCTCGCTGTGGGGGTTCGGGGTTGAAGGGGTCCCTGACGTCTAGCCTTGGCCTTGGGTTTTTGCCTACTTGTACACTTCATCTCTAGTCTAGATGCGGCACTGAAGTCGAGCCCCAAGAATGCGGATACCAAGCCATATATATATACACATACACATACATACATGCATACATACATACATACATACATACATACATACATACATACAGACATACATACATACATACATACAAAGATATACATATATATATATATACGCCCTTGAGACTCTTAGACCCTACTCATTTACCACATTTCCCCACCTAGACTCTCGAGTTCATCCGAACTTTCTGCAAGGCATCTGCCGGGCGGGCTTCCCAGTTCTGCAGATCGCGCCAGTGCATTCTCAGGGCCCTTTACTCTTCGCGCAGTGGTGCCCTTGGGGGTGTGGGGTGTCACGGTAAGCGATTCTACAGATGAGTGCGTTCTGCTTCTGTTTTAGCCTCTCGTGAGGGAAGAGTCAACACTGGCCACCTTCGGAGGTTTCAAGTTCAACGTTAAACTGCTTCGTCCCCTGCGCATATCTTCGGGCAAGACCTGGGTCATGTGTTCATGCATCGGCTCAAGCATTATTGGCTTCTTTGCAATTGTGACAGTGCTCTACATTTTGCTCTGATAGAAACCCTAGGCGAGACATGGCCATTCGCATTTTCGTGGCGCTTCTTGCCTTTGCGACTGCCCGCGGCGAGGACATCGAAGCTGCGATGGCTGTTGATGACACCTGCACCGCTGGTGGTCCACCAGCTGCGCGGTATGAAGGTCGACTACTTGGAAGCGATCCGAGACGAGACTGTAGCTGAAGTCAAGGCTCATGAGCAGCTCGATGAGGAGCTCGAGGGCGGCAAGTGCCAGAACCCTACAGACCTCAAGATTTGGAAGAGCGGCGGCAGGAGGAGCTTCGACTCGGCATTGAACCACTGCGGCCGCTCTTGTGCAGCAGGCTTTCCGTGCACCCAGGACTGCATGAAGAAGCAGGGCTTCTTGGCAGCATATATCCATAAGAACGCTGCTACCGTTACGTCGTAATTTTAGGAAAGTCTTGCTGTCTCGCGCTTTCAGTATCAGGCTACTCCGCGGGTTGCGCCGGGTGCATGGCCCAGCTCGTGGGCTGCTCCCGCGACAATTGCATCAACCAGCGCCCTCGGTGGAATTAGATCGTGTTCACGTGAGGAGGCTTGTCGGATGCTTCGACACGGTGTCGCTTTGAGCATGCCCCTGTCCAGAGAACGTCTCACAGAATAGCTAGGTGCATCAGCAGCGACAGCAGCCCTGCCTGCACGGGCTGCGTGAAGAAGCACTGCCGTCCGAAGATGCAGCTGAGCTGCATGGGCCAGGGAGCTACCTGAAGAAGGGCCCAGAGCTTGCTTGAGAGTTGCCAGAAGCCTAGAAGTCACATGGAGCTAAGGAAGGGCTGCAGCGGCTTCAACGTCGGGGGCCACTAGGCAAGGCACTGGCACGGCCATTGGCGAGGCTCAAAAAGATCGACGATCTTGCCAGCACACCCCATGTTCCTTAAATTCAAGACCCTCGAAATTTCTAGATGCTGGGATTGCAAGGACCAAAAATTGAGTGTACACAACACTGCGGCAAAAACAAACCTGTAAATACACCAAAATAGAAATATGCACATAAATGTACACGCACACACAAACACACACACACATACACACATGAAACTCATGAAACCTACCTACCCTACCCGACCCTACCCTACCCTGCCCTACCCTACCCTGCCCTACCCCCAACCTACCTACCTACCCTCCCTACCCTACCCTACCTACCCACCTACCTACCTCCCTGCATGCATACATGCATACATGCATACATGCCTAATTACAGACACACATACATATAGACATACATACATTCATACATCCATACATCCATGCATCCGTCCATCCATCCATCCATCCATCCATCCATCCATCCATCCATGCATTCATACACGCGCACACTATCGATGCACCCATACATGCATGCATACATATATACATATACATATACATATATATATATATATATGCCCCCTCACGGATCCACCGTTAAGACCATCTAATACGCATGCATGAGTCTAGCAGAAGTGGCCATATATATATATACAT